TGCCCCCACGCTATTGTCCCACCAGCCAGCCTCCCCTTCCCCTGGCTTGCTCCATCCCCTGCATTCAAGCAGTAGGACACCTGACCCTGAAGGCAAGCAGGGACAGGAGAGTTCAAGGGTGGGCTGAGCCACAAGATGAGTGGCTGCAGGTACAACTGTTCAGATGTGCTTTGCTTCCAACAACCTCTTTGGAGGGCGAAGACAGAGCTTGGAGGGAACGCCCCATAGGAAGGGTAGTCCATGAGCCCCAGCTGCAGTGCCACACCAGCAATGCAGCTGCCAAGAGCTGGCTATCTTCACGGTAGGGCCAAGGTTGTCACCTGTCCAGTTTTCATCCGGACAATCTAGGAATCTGGAGTCTTTGCCCAGAATCCAGTGAGACTTGGATGCCTAATGCCCAGGAACAGGACTGGGAGGACAAGGTGGCAGTTCTCGGGGCACAAATTCATAGGCTACAAGGAGTTTCCAAAAGAGGTTCAACCCAGGTCCCACCACCCCCCATGGCTGGTAGCACGCACACAAAATCATGCCATTTCCAGACTGGTCCAGGCATGGCTCCAGCAAAAGGTGGCCAAAACGTTAGGCAGCTTGGCTTGCCTACAAAATGGCTCCCGATTCTCATCATGGCGAAGCAGCCGCTGTCAGTCATGTTCACGGCGGGCCGAGGAATGCCATCCAAGTTAGCTCATGGCCAGGCTGAGCTTACCTTCCCCGCACACCTGGCCAGCGCGTGCAAATTTTGGGAGGATGTTCCCGTCGGGCCAGGGCTGTCCTGACACCCCCGCCGAGCAACACGGGCTCGGAGCCCCCGACAAGCCAATGCTCTTCTTGCCGCCAGCCCCCACCAACGGAGGTAGGAGGCAGGTCGCGACTGCAGCATGGGAGCCTGGGCTGTTTTCCACCCACTGCAACTCCCCAGCCAAGTGGATCTCCCCGAAACGTGGCAGCCCCATGACCGGCCTCGACTCAGGAAGGGGGAATCCTCCTCCCCGCAAAACAGCGGGTTCTCCAGGCCCAGCCCTGGCGCGAGGGGCACCAGAGCCCTACAGCGCGCAGGGCAGCAAAGAGGACGAATTCAAGGCTGAGAAGGGATTTTCCGCTCCATTGGCACTGGTTTTCCAGCAACGGGCAGAGTGCGAGCCCTACGGCGTCTGCATGCACCGCACCCCCACCGCTCGGCCTCCCAGACGCACCTCACGGAGGAAGGGAACGGAGGGACGTCTTCTTCCCCGGCTAAGATCGCTGGTTGAAAACCAAGCTGAAGGGGAAACAAAGGGCAGGGGAGTCTCCCAAGAGTCCAGGTAAATGAGCCACCCAGCAGAGAGAGCAGAGACAACTCCTAAGACCGTGGCCGTCTTGGGGACAACCGGGCGACTCCAACTTCCGTCCGCATGGCAAACCCCGGCTCAGAGCTTTTGGGGGAATCCCGAGTTTGGGAAGAATGGGCCTAGCGCGTCGGGGCTGGGCTCCCCTGGGTTGCACTCAGGCTCATGCACCCTTCCCCCCGCGCTCAGCACCAAGGAGGAGTCCCTTAATCCCGACAAACCAGTTTGACTCAGCACAACAGGCACAGCTACAATTTTCAACAATACACGAGCCTGTGATTCAGATTCCTCCGGCCGTTTAATTAAATGCCGAGCTCCCATTTTCTAGCAGCGGCAGCAGCAGCCACTTCTCATGGCCAAAAAATGCAACCGACTGGTTTCCCCAAATTTCTGGTGAGATCAGTCATCAAAACAAAGCCAGGAGTTTGGGGACATTCCTTGAAACCGGAGGCCACTATTCGTGTCATGTGAGAGACACGCACATGTACCGACCCGGAGTTTCAGGCCCTGGGGCGGATGGGTGTTTTGTGCTTCCACCCCACGGGCTGAACTGCATTAGACAAAATAAATAAATAAATAAATAAAGACCCAGCGAACAATGGAAGCGCCAAAATTGCCGGCATGCAGCCGGCCCCTGAAATCTCAGTGCATGCGGCGCGCTCTCCCCTCTCGCTAAGTGTGCTCTGCCGGACACAAAGGAAAACCCCTCTCCGCCCCGGCTCAGGAAACATGGACAAGAGGCAGCTTTCAGGAGCAAGGGACGGGAGATTGAGAGAGTCCGGGCAGCACCACAAAGCCCTACACGACGGGCCCTCAACCCTGGCCCTACCCCGAAGCATCAATAAAACAGCAGGGCTAACATCCATGAATCACGCCGTCGAGAAACCAGCCGTTTCAGCGAAAAGCAATTCAACAAAAAGCACATCTCCCTGCCAAGAAAATACCCAACCGTTTCTAGAAACAGGGCTGGGGGGGAGAGCCAGGTCTGAATCAAACAGGGGTGCCTTGGTACGAGAACGACCACGGGGTCGTATTTATGGTCAACCTGAACAGCAGCGAGGCGCAACCGAAGAGGACTTGTCCCTTTCCCTTGTGCCAGCTGGAGAACGAACTCTCCACAACTTCATCTTCATCGTGTCACTCTCCCCCAGCCCCCCAAAAAGTCAGCAAAAGTCCCCAAGGGTCTGCCTGTCTCATCAGCAAGCTCAGGGGTGCGCATGTAGGAAGGTGCGGGGCTTTCTCTGGGATTTCTGACTCCAACCCCTCTCCCAGCTGGAAAGGAGGTTCTCCCCAACACTTTGGCTTGTGTGCGGTGACGTGGAGGCTTCCCACAGACCACCATGAAACCCCCCCCAGAGAGGTCCGAGTGCCCCCTTTTGCAAGGCACTAACGATCTGGGGTCGCTGCCTGCTCCTGCCAACTCAGAGCCTGGCACGGTCAGGCAGGCAGCTCCGTGCTGCCTCCGCACCCACGCAGGCCCCCCAAGGCCGACAGCTGGAAGTCACCGCTGAAACCGAACCCGGAGAGAGCAAAGAGGAGAAATTTAGCTCATCTCGTCAGGCCGGGTCCCGTGCTTGGGTGTGCAGAGCTGGGCTTTGCATGGAAGACAGAGGAGATGTTGCCCAGCCCAGAGGCTCTGGTGCCAGAGGCTGGGCGGGGAGCTGGCTCCAGGGGCCAGAGCCAGGCCTCCCTCTGCTGTGCTTGCGCGCACCCCGTGCCGAGAGCTTGCTCCCTTGCAGCCGGGCCTCAGCTCCTGACCACAGCGGGGCAAACCCGTCTCCTCCTTGCATTCAAACGCTTGGCCAGAGAAAGCCGCTGCTGTTGCTTCTGGACAGAGCAGGCTGAGGCACTGCTGAACTGGAGAAGAAAACCACACTGTAACTTCAAACAAGTCCAGTGCCCTTGCAGGATCTGGAGAGAAACCATTTTCTCCCGAGCAGCACAAAGCACTCACTGAGCTCGGCTTCCCCCATCCCCACAGTGCCCCGAAAAGAAGCCAGACTCCAAGCCATCGACCCGGGGCCGGGGGGGCAGGGGGGAGCCAGAGTTGCACGATAACACCGGCAGGAGAGCTGCACAGCCCCCAGGCCAAGATTCACCCCGCACCAAAGGTGGGGAGGCTGCAGGGAGCTGCAAATCCCCAGCACGAGGGGAGAGCAGGAGGTGGCAGCCGCGGTTTGGAGTACGTGCACGCAGATTTACTGCCGGGCTGGATTTACGACGAGCATTAAAATATCTGAACTAACGCGCACCTGGATTTACAGCGACTGCTCCAACGCCCCGGTCCGTGCCAGGGAACCGCCACGCGAGGGGCTGGAAATGCCAGACGCAGCACCGCACTGCCCCGAGACGGGCTCAGCCATCTCGGCTCCCGGGGAGGCCGAAACGGCTTGCGGCCTGGCCAGTCGGCCGTGCCGCCTCCCTAGCCGCTCCCAGGTCCGGCCCGAACAAAAGCGGGGACAACGTGGGCACGAAGCGGCCAGCCCTCTGCCGTCCTCGCGCCCGCCCAGCGCTGCTGAAGCGGGACCACTCGCCAAGGCCTGGTCAACAGCTGGAGCGTGACCTCCCCAGGAGGAGCATTCGGCCCTCTGACCCCTCCACATGCTCAGGAAGCTGGGGAAACCCTGCGACTCCTAAGCGAAAGCTGTTTATTTTCCCCGTCCTGCTCCTTGCTCCGGCCGGCCCGGGTTAAACAGCCAGCTCCCCAGCAACGACGCCCCCGGCGCAGCACGTTGTCCGGGGATTCAACAGGAGGCGGAGGCCACCGGAGAGCGGGCAAGCAGGGCGCCCGGCCCCGGAGCGTTACAGCCGGCCGAGTAGCACAATGCTTCACGGCAGCGCGGGCCCGGAGGACGCCGCTTCGGGCACATGCCTGCAACACGGACAGCCCCGGACACGCAGCCCCCGCGGGGCCCACAACAGGCCCCTGCGGCCCCACACCTGGATTCCCAAACTACTTCTACGCACCTAATTATTAAGAGGACCGGTGTCGCGCCGTGCCCGGAGGCTGGTGGCGGGCCCAGAAAACGCCGCCCGTCAGAAAACACGGCCCCTGCCCACAACTTTGCTGCCCGTTGGCTGCAGGGCTGGCGCGGCGTCTCTGGGGGATGCGAGGCCCCGGCAGGCCGGCGTTCAGGAATGTGCAGGCGGGCGAGCGCTCCCGGGGCGTTGTTGTTTCCTCCGCCGTGGCGGTATGTGGGAGCATCGCTTTTAAACCCACCGAGCGCGGGGGACGAGGCCGGGAGGCTTCTCCCCTGAGGCCGCAGCCGGGCGCGGAGGGATTTGAGGAGGAGAAAGGGGCAGGGGGATCCGCGCGCGCGTCCGACCCGAGGACATGCCCCCCACCCCGCAGGCGCGCCCCACGCCAGGCTGGGGACGCCCCATCCCGCTCCCGACCAAAGCGGGGCAGTGGGGTCTCTTTCTTGTCGCCAGCCCCGCTCCGCCCCGCGCTCGGGGCTTCCTCGCGGGGGCCAGAGGGGAAGGAGCCGCCTGGTCTCACCAAGTCCCGAGACAAAAGCGGCTTTTTTGGGATTTTTCCGCAAGGGGACTTGCAGCAAACTTCTCGCGGCCCCGTCCCGGGGGGAGCAGGGCGAGCTGGCGAAGGGGAGGAATTGGCGCGGCGCGCCCCGCCGCCCCTTCAGTCGGACCCCGCTGACGGCGCGGCGCCGCACCCACCTTCCAGCGCCCGGCAGACGCCGACCAGCAGCAGT